AGCTAGAGGGGCCGACCTTTGAGCCCCTGTGGACTGAATCAGCCGCTTCCCGAGCTCCTTCCAGCCTCAGGACCTGGCCCGCCCTGCTTTCTCAGCCTGAGCCATCCTGACTGAGGTCCTGGTGCGGCTGACTTCTTCTCACCACTCTTGATTTTCACTTCCATGCTAAAACAGCGAGTTGCGGCGCGGCACACCTGCAATGCTGGCTATTCAGGAGACTGAGACAGGAGGATCTCGTTTTAAGGTCGGTGAGATGCTTTGAAAAGCAAAGTCCTCTTCTCAGAGCAGCATTTCCTGGCCTAGCAATCTGAGGGGGTCTTGCATACCACTTGTCACCTCACCCAGTTTTAATTCATCGGGTGCCCGTATAACTTACCTGTTCCTCACCACTGACTTCAAGTTCCACTAAGACTGGGACCCTCTCTGCCTTGTTCCTGGCTGAATCCCCAGACCCTAGGCCACAAGCATTTGGTAATTATGTACCTTAGCGCCTGCAGACTTCAGCAACCCCTGGACTTCCGGCAGGGCGGCCTGGTGAGGGAGCCACTCACACAGGCACTGATCACAGGGCGGGAGGCGGGAGCCAGGGTCAGCTCGGAGCCGGCTGGGGTCAGCAGCTCCCTGGAGCCATCGGAAGCTTCTCGTCTCTTTCTCTGCACTGTGTTCTCGATGTCGGTTTCGTTCAAACTCCGCCTCCCACACCATGGCCTTCACTAATTCCTCTTCAAATTATGCTAATGAATTCACTTTACAATAATAAAACTTCTACTTAAAAATAACTATAAAACCCACACAAAATTTAGTAAGAAGCGCCGTGCTGTGTTCCCTTTTTGCCGATCTCTGTAATGTCTCGATCTCTGTAATGTCTTGTGGGACAGACTTTAGCGGGGTTCCTCTGCTGCCGCATCGGTCTCTGGCAGAAGCGATGAACATCTGGAAGGATGTGTGGTTGGAAAGGGAGGGGAGCATCAGCAGCCTTTGCAGATAACTGCCTACACTCCTGTCTCACGCTAGAAGTTGGGCACTGGAATTCTCTCCAAGTGAGAAGCCCTTGCAGAGTTTGAAATTATCTCAGGGGCATTTGGGGACTGGGATACTAGTACCCATTGGCTGCTTACACTGGGAGGAATCACGGACCCAAATATGCTTTGCAGACTCCACACGTCGGGGAAGCAAGCACTCACGGGGCGCTCGGCCTTCACACGGCGCGCTTCCTCACGAGGGACCCACGCAGCACAGAGGCTGGCACTGCCGCGCGGCGCATCCAGCAGCCTCCAGCGCCGGGCAGGCACCAGGTGCACGGGAGCAAAGGTGAGTTCTCCAGAGTCCAGATGTTCACTGGAAAATCCTACCCGCGGCATCAGCTGTGTTTTCCCTGATGTGACAGAGTGGTTTTGGCGGAGAATCACCAGTGCAGCTGCTCACTGTTCTTCCAAGGGAAAATGGCACTCCCGAAGAGAGCCGCAGGCCCGGCTCACAGCCGCTTCTGCCCAACGCCCGGCCCTGCTTCTTCTTGGTGCACGCCACTGGCGCACACTTTGTGCCGGGGCACAGCCATTAGAACTAACATTTTCGGTGACATTTCTTTGCTGTGAGCTGGGTGATGAGCGTGGTGACCAGCAGCTCACCCTGCCTGGATGCAGGCGGAGGGGCCAGCACGTCGCCCACGCCGCGTCTGCACTGTGGGACACACAAGCGGCGTCCACATCCTGCAGAACCGCTCTGCACCTGCACTGCCTGAACAGCCTCGGGTAGGAGGCCAGGTTCAAGGACCATACTGATCACTGCCCCACCCTGCTGGTGCCCATCCCAGGAGGGCAGAGGTGAGCTTCCTCCCAAAGCATGCTAGGAAGGACTTCCACCACCCTGCAAGTGCGTGTCAGGAACCTCTGGGTGAGAAAGTGGGACGAGGGGAGCGAGACCTCCAGCTGCATTCACCACTGAAAACAGATCACTGAACCAGACACAGCGGTACTTGCTTGCCATCCAAGCACTCAGGAGGCTGAGGCAGGAGAATCACAAGTTTGAGGCCAGCCTGGACTACACAGCAAGATCCTGTCTCAAAAACAAACAAAAAATGAAAACAGGGCTTTGCTAAACTTTTTTGGAACAAGAATGCCTTCTTCACTTACTTAACAAACAATAAATAGTAGTATGAATGGAAACGGACCAGGGAGAGGCAGAGCGCTGGCGACGACCTGAAGAAGCCGTTAGATACTGCAGCATAGGTTCTTTCCAGCAGGCTCCGATCAGCGCTCTCTGTTACCACTGGGGATGATCAATTTACGGAGACCTGAGAGGGCACAACGTCCCTCATGAAGACACATGCGCGGCGCTCTGCCCGCACTCCGAGGCTTCACAGCACCGGGCGCACGGGCCTCCTGCTGTCACCAGCGGGACCGGGTCCGCAAGCTTCTCCACTCTGAGGTCACACTGCCCTGGGCAGACTCCGAGAGCTCCCGGGAGTCAGTACTTCCCAAGATCAGTGATCTGAGCTTCATCCCTACCAGAACCTTCTCCACCTCAAGATTGTAAAACAAGCGATTTTTCCTAGGATATGTTTGTACTTTTTAAAATGTGTATTTCATAATTAAATCCACCTAGCTTCTCTTTTGGTGTAGGCTGTGAATATCCCTGAGAATATGAAAAGATGTGGCCACAGTTTCAAGGGATTCAATTTTCAGATCCTCGGACTTCCTAAAACTGTCTCCCTGCGATGCTCCTGGACCCCAGCTTCTCACCTGGGACACCCCAAATCTTAATTTTTTA